GTTTTCTTCGTCCCACTCCTTTTCAGGTAATTTTTGTTTTTTGTTTTGTGCACTTTATGTTCAATATATGTATTTTGTTGTGCCTGAAATGAATAAATAAATGAACAGGAACTGTTAAGCTGTTTGTAAAGATAAACAACCAAACGGTCATTTATAGTCACTGAGTTATTGCCTCAACTGTTTGCATCAAGGACAATTTCTATTTATACAAGGTAATGCTGACATAGGAACAAGTAGAAAGCTTTGAGTTCTCTTACAGCGTGCACGTCCAGAGAGTCTACAGTGAGGTCATATGGGTCCATGTGGAGGCTGTCAAAGACTTCCTTGAGTGTGAGCTTCTTACTGCCTTTTTCCAAGACCACTCGATCTGCTTCAGTCTGGTATGTGGTCTGTATGAATCTCAGCAGATGCTTCTGGTTCATGCAAGCGGCAGCATGTATATGTGTGTCCACCTGTGTTTGACACAAGTCAGACAGTGGCACGGGGTTTACTGGACAACTCACAGCATCCCTATAAAGTGATATTTATTTATACTGAGAGCACTAAAGTTATGAATAGCTTCTGCTCTAAGTGCGTCAGCCCCTCTCCTCTGTCTGGGGCATCGCAGACTGAGCAGAAAGATTTCAGCCAACCTTTCTAACGTTGTAGAAGTCTCTGTGTGGGACTCTTTTCAGCTCTTTTAGCTCCGCCATTTCATTCAGCATTTCATGCAGGTAGAATTTGGAGCCCAGGAAGTTCAGCCGTCTGTGGCAGTAGGATTTTCTGCGAAGCAAAATAACGAAACAGTTACGAGTAAAATGTAATAAATGTCATTCGGTATCAGTCAAAAGGTTCGTAATGTCAATCTGTTAGAAATATTGACTAAGCTTTTGCACTCACGTTGGGCCGTCAGCTATCATCGCAAGTACATGGCTCAGGTCTATAGCAAAGGTCTCGAGGTCAGGGTAAGGAAGGCTGTAAGCTTGCTCCTGTTTCAGGGCCTCAGCACTCTCATAAACATGAATTATACCATCCTTTATCTGCAGCTCATAGTTCAGGTCTTCAGGAATACCCTCCATGGAGTATGGGTCCTCCCCTTCATGGGGGTAAGGAAAGATGTCTGCAGATGATGACAGCAGCTCAATCAGAAGTTATTTGCAAAAACAGTCACTCTCTGAAGTGTTGGTTATAGAATAAAGTGTAAAAAGTTTAAAGTGTATTTTTCCTTATTTTCTACCACATACAAATATACTGTTAAATTAATAATTGCTCCTATTGAATACTGGCAATTTTAAATAAGAATGTCAACCTCATCAAAGAGAGCAAATATCCTTAATACCTTCATTTCAGGCTCAAAGCCCTGGCCACACACCTGTTATTTAGACCTTCTGTTTATGAGGGAGATCCAATCAGAAGAAAGACTGTGTGAGGGCAGGTAAAGGAGCTAAGATGGCTTGTTTCACACATTGAGATGTACCCAGGGGCTGAGATAAAGAAGTATTGTTTTGAAGTGTGCAAAATCATGCAAAGCTTCTCTGGTGAAGTGTAAGAATACAAAAAAAGGAACTGGAAATGAGTCGAATAGACCTCTGACATTTGAATGAAATGATGGCTAGTACATAATTCCAACTCTCCAAGTCTTTCTCTTGCCTCATTTGAGGTCAGTTTTTTAGGCTCTGTGTCAGGCTTCGCCCAATCAGGTTTGAGCTCTGATATTTCCATGCATGTATAACCTTCCCAGTGTATTCAGGAAGGGTGAAATTATACAGTATCTTTTATTTATTTTTCACTTAAACCTAAACTTTGGCTTTTAATTATGACTGAGTTTTGTTTTGTTCTCTTTGTGTGTTTGTTTTACTTTTTATTTTGTACAGCAAGTAACAGCAAGTGATTGAACTTAACCTTAAATGTATCAAAATGAGCAAAAATTATAACAAAGAGTAAGATAATTTAAGGCCGGTAAACTTTATTACAATGGAGTTATATTTAAGATTGTACATTTTCTTTATCTGTTGTCTGGAATATTTTCAGGTTCTGTTTCTGACGACATTATCTGTTGTCAGAAACAGGCTGACTGACCTTGGCTCACAGACACTTCACACCATCTCTGGCACACATACAGAGAGGTCTTAAATTAGCTCTGCATAGAATAGGTGGCACACAGTAAGTTTCATCTTTATCTCCAATACACAACTAAACATCAAATCATTAGTGAGTTGTTTAAACTGGTCTGAGCACTTTTATTGAATATTGGAGTTGGCATCCATCGTAAGTTTAATATTGTTTCTGCTCTCTGTGTGAATTGTTTGAGGAACTGAAACCTGAACCCTTAATATTAATGGCCTTGCTCATTTTCCTCTCCATGTCGGAGTATTTCATTGGTTAAACAGCTGAGCTGGTTAAACACCTGCACTTGCGCATGTTGTACATAACCTCTTGCTGTGTGTGAGCGAGTAGATGGAAAATTACAAAACGTGCACTTTTACAGGAAGATTAAATTGGACTTTTTTGACACCAAAAAGGAAAAGTTTAGTAAACCTGGCAGGACTTCATCCTCTTCTAGCCACCTCTCATTTTCAGCATTTCGCAGGAACAGGGCAGTGGTCCTTGGAAATCGGTGGTAGGCCAGCCTGGAGTACTTCTCTCGGATGAACAGGGCTTTGAGGAGACCCTTAGTTGCTTGCTCATAGTCCTCAACTGTGATCTGGAAACATTGTGAGGTTGTTAATTTTTGACTTTTGTTTGTGTTTAACCACGGTGTCTTAAAGGTTCAAAATGGCCTTTAAAGATTGCAATAACCTAGTTAAACTATGGCACCGAGCTAAATGAAGGATCTCTCCTGTTGCCCTGTCTTACAGCCACGAATGAAGTCTTAACAAGAAAAGAACAACTGTCATGTTTTTCTTTTTCTTGTGTGAAAATGTCATTTTATAAGTATAGAGTGGATCGACTTTTTAATTCTGGGTAAAAATATGTCTCTCATAGGCCAAACATGCATTTTACCACATCATTGGTCTGAATTTAAAAATGAGTTGTTTTTTATGGTATATTTCCTCACTAGGCTGTGGTCCATCTTTTATATTTCAACATATGGACTATTCTCGTTGATTACCCCTGCACAGTAATCTCCACTGATGGTAACTCTCTGGAAGTCTGGGAAGGAGTCTGAAAGCAAAGATTCAGCAGTGGCGGGTGTTTGCGCTGGGGTAGGTGTCCAATCAGGAGGCATCTGCAAAGATACCGACTGTGACCGCTTCAACTTGAAACTCTTCTTCCTAGTTACACAGAGGGAAAAGAAGCAAGCACTATTTATGCTGAGTATTTTTTGATGGTTTTAGTCGTTCTTTTTTGGCTATCCAGAAAGAGAGACATGTTCAGTTAAGCATGTTTCTAATCCATACCTCTTAACTGACTCCTGAGACAGCTGTTCAGCCATCTCCTTTTGCAGCTCCTTCTCTCTAGTCTCATTCAGACCAATGGGACAGTCTTCTGGGACAGTGAACAGAGCCAGAGTATCCTTGCTGTCTTCCTCCTTCAGAGCAGAGGCGTACACCTTCTCTGCCATCAGACGAACCCTCTCATCCACCTCGTGTATTGACACTTTTGGGAAAAGGCGTGGTAAATCTGAAAAAAATTGAGAACATTTTTTTAGCAACTACCTGTATTTTTCTTACCAGTAAAAGCAGTGTTTAAAAATTTAATCTAATCATATTTCAGAATGCTTCTGTCATTCCAATACTGGTCATTATTACTCGGAGTGGAGTTATGTCATAATTATGTTTGAAATCTAAAATGGAACAAAATACTGACATGTTATGTCTCATAAACGGGTTTAAATATGGGAGTGCTTAAAGAAGAAATAACATTATGTTAGTAATGACAGTAAACATGAATACCAGAAACATAATCCGGAGTGAGGACGGTTGGTTGTGGGGCTGTTTTCCAGCTTCCCATTTCAACACACAGACCAGAGAATGTGTCTTGAGTGGTGTTGGAATTAAATAATTTGCAGTGCCTCAATAATGCTATGCTTTTTTATCAATAACTGTTATAAAGTCATATAGTGTAGTATTGAGTGGACACAGCCCTGAAAAATAAAGGCATTAGATCATGTGTCCTTGGGGAGTAGAAAGCTGTAGACGCTCGCTCACACTTGCCTTGGAAAAAGTAGATAAGAGGGGACCATCTCTAGTGGAAAGTTACTGAGACACTGTTGTTTAGACTAGAATAAGAGAGCTTCTGTAATAAAACTGTTAGGGGTGCACCACCATTTTGAGATCCGCGGCAACGTGTCATGCAGGACGCATCTCCCTTCTAGAAGTAATGTGAAAGAGAAATAAAGTGTTAAATGGTCTACTGAGCAGTGTTTTGTCTTCCATCGAACGCCTCCGAGGAATCAAAAGAACTCGGTAAAGTGTTGATCGTTAACAGTGGCTGACTCGTGTTTCAGTGCTTGCTGCCAGTGCAACAGGTAAGTTACAGTAAACAAATTTGTGTGTCCAAGTCTGGCCGCGTGTTCTGAGAGCACACCGCACTGAGGACGGTATGTGACAGCAGGAAAAGCAACAACACTGAAAGCTCCTGCTTACACAGTACACCTCTGTCGGTGCATCGCCACGTGTTAATTAGATGTGACTGAAGTGCTGTGATGATAAGCAAGATATATTTATGTAGGAAATATCATGTTGATGGAACTTGTGAAACCAGAGCTGCGTAAACGTTTGCAAAACAAAAATGACATAATGATTCGTGAGGTTGTATTTTTTTTTTTATTATTATTTATGGTTGTCATCATCCTTACTGCTATATTGTGACACCATTAGTTTCATGTTTATTTTGTAATAAGTAATATACAGTCAGCGGGCACTTCATTGGGTTGCACCTCGTTCAAGGTTGGAACAACTTTAACTCTTTGTGGCACGCATTCAACAAACTGCTGGAAACATTCCTCAGAGATGCTATGAAGCCAGGTTCCCTGTCAGATTGAGGTCCGGGGACTGTGGAGGCCGTTTGAGTGCAATGTGGTCAAGAAATTAGTTTGGGATGATGTGAACTCTGTGACATGCTGCACTATCCTGCTGCAAGCAACCATCAGAAGATGCTACATTGTAAACTTTACACTGTAATACAGGCATTGAAATGGTCAGCATTTAAACGCATTACTGTTTACAATGTAGTGTTTCAGTAATGATAAGTTGTGCCACACCATTACTCCACCACCACTACTTTGACCCACTGATCCAAGGCAGGATAAATTGGTGCTTTCATGGTGTTTATGCTAAAACACTGAGACAGACCAGGCAACATTTTTCCAGTCTTCTGTTGTCCACTTTTGATGACCATGTGTGAACTGTAGCCTCAGTTTCCTGTGGCACCTGGTGTGGTCTTATTTACTCTTGGCTTCCTATCAGCCTGTAGTAGTCTGGCCATTCCCTGCTGATTTTGCCCAGAGAACTGCCGTTCAAACCATCCTCTGTAAACCCTACAGATATATGTGAGGGAAAATCCCAGCAGAAAAGTGGCTTCAAAAATACTCGCCTGTCTGGCACCAACAAACGTGCCACATTCAAACATGTGGAAAAGCACAGCTGTTGAAGTTTATATTATCATTGCCGCTGCAGTTTGCCCTGGGAAGTCCATCTTTCCTTATTTTGACATTTACCATGTAATATTATCAGAAGGTTAGTTCAGGCTCATGCAAATATTGATTGGCTTATGTTACATTGTTTTAGGTTTGCAAGGGTGCCAGACTTGATACAGGTCTGCTATTGAATGGTAGGCATCAGTAAAGTACATTCAAGAATCTTCAGACAGATATCCTGTATGTAGTTCACAGGATTTTTCCAGGCTTGTAAATGGAAAGGAAATATTTGACCCCGTTGTTAGAGCAGCAGTTATGAGCATGCCATCATTTTGGTTCTCAAGGCTTTTTGGTGGGAAACATTCAAGTTTATTTGTATTATTGCATGACATGCTATTTCTGAACTCAGGACCCCCTGATCTTGTATTTTCAGCAGATGAATGACAGCAGATTGGTTTTCTATTTTTTAATAGCTTCTCCCCCTTGTTTAATTCCCACAGTGTGACAGCTACTGTTGCTACCCAACATCCCATCATCAGTCGAGATGTTTGGATATTCTGATCACCGTGTCATCACTGTGGATATTAACGTTCCAGTCCATGGGGGTCACTGGGACACATCCAGAATATATCCGTGTGAGGATACTGGAATCAACAAGCACACGATAGCACATGCAGCTCCAGTGTATCAGATGCCAAACTTCTCAGCTGCACACTGCATCCCTACTGGTTTACACAACACTCTGTCTGAAACCTCTGAGTGATCTGGAATTCTTCACAGATGATACCGTTAACATTTGCCCTCACACTGACACGCTTGCTGCCTGTTCCTTGGCTAGCACATTTTAGGAGCTGCTGTTTCTGATGAGCCTTTCAGCACGTGTACTCTCTCCCTGCTGGAACAGCTCAACAGTCTCTTGGATGACCTTGATGTATTACAACCCCCCAGTTATAAAAACCTAACATTCACAAATCCTCTGACTATGTTGGAAACGTCAATTAAACTGAAATTCTGAAATATTATAATAAAATTTCAATTTTGGAATGATTTTTAAATTTTCAGTGTGTTACACAAAAAGAAAAAAAATCAATAAAATGTGCCAGTATTTCAAAATACTCACTTATAGCATATATAAATATCCACCTGTTTCCTCAGCTAAAGACTGCTGTACTTATAGCATCACTCAGAAAGTCAAATCTAGCTGCTTCTGTGCCTCAGGCAGTAGCCACTGAATAAACATCTTTGAAACTCTTCTTTGAAATTACTCTTTGAATAGTTGTCATCATAGTCTTCATAGTCTTTTTTTAATAGAAACATAAAATCAGTAGGGGTAGCACTATCTGTCTCTTACCTTCTGTTGTGATTTGGGCCATGTTTGGCTCTTTCAGTCTCTGCCTGTTGAGTCAGGTATTTCAGCTTTCACGTATCTGGTTCTGTCTCTTATGGACCCCTTACCTCTTAGCTTTGGCACCGCCACTTCTACAGGTATGGCACTCAGGGGCAGGACTTACAAAACAGCTGAGTGCTGCTGACACAACACCTATGTAAACTGTCCTGAGTTCTGGTGACTGTATATTTCTTGTATCTGTGATGCTTCTCTTCAGGGTTTTCTCTCTGACTGACTCTGTCGGGCTTTGCTCTGCTGTTTATTTGGTCCACTGCCTGTATGTATGATGCAGCTGCTAGTTGTTGTTGTTGTTGTTGTATTGAATGTCCTTCTATCTCTATTTTAGGGTATTGGGCGCGTCAGGGTAACATGGGGTGCTAATCCAAGCTGGTATGTCACAACTGGCTGCTAACATGTGAGCTCTGATCTGTGATATGGGGCAGTAGGACAAAAAGTAAGTACTGGCAGCTACAGTCACGGTGTTTACCATGTAAACACTAAAGTAAGGGAAAAAAGCCATCAAACCTAGCTGGCCCTGTAGGAAAAAGTATTGGTCTCCTCTTGCTAAATTATTAATGAACTGTGAGTAACAGACTTCTTGGAAAACTGAGTTCATTTTCACGAGCCACACCCAGGCGTGACAACAGCCAGACCTGCTGAACCAGCAAATCAATTATAGAGGTATGTTAGCAGACTAGAGACCTCAAATTTAAAGAAACTCAAGAACAAATGAGAAACAAAATGACTGGCATCTATCAGTCCAGAAAGGGTTACAAAGCAATTTCAAAGGTTTTGGGACTCTAGCGTACCACAGTGAAAGCCATTATCCACAAATGGAGAACACTTGGAACAGTGGTGAAGCTTCCCAGGAGTGGTCAGTCTACCAGAACTGCTCCAAGAGTGCATCGACAACTCATCCAGGTGGCCACAAAAGTTCCCAGAACAACATCCAAAGAACTGTGGGCCTCACTTTCCTCAGTTAAGATTTGAGTTCATGATTCAATAATAAGAAATTGGGAGAAAGAAAGAAAGAGTTCCAGGTGAAAACCACTGCTGACCAAAAAAGGCTCATCTCACATTTACCAAAAAAGGCCTTTTAGGTATTTTAAGACAAGATATTCTGTGGATTAATAAGAACATTATTCCCACGGTCAAGTTGTTGTGGTAGTGTCATCTGGACTTGTTTCCTACTTTAGGACCTGGAGCTCAGCTGAAGCACTTGGGTTATTGTGGCGTGAATAAGGCACGGCGGGACCACAGGATGTTGCTTTGAGCCATTTTTATTTGCTGCGGTTGCAGCTCACAGGCTGCCATCCGCACATGCAACACACCACAAAAATCCACCGGCAACTGAATCCCCGTGTTTTAACAGGCGGGCGTGATTACGGATGCCGTGCAGGTCAGTCCGCATGGCACCGCCGACCACGCCTCACCAGAGTTATGCAGCCAGACAATGATCCAAAACACACCAAGTAGTCCATTTTACATACTATTACAGATCATTCATAAAAGCATTTGTGTAGCAAAGAATCTGAAGAACACGAGTATGAACTTTACTGCAGTAAAAGGAAGCACATTGCTGGTAACAGTCCATCTTTGTATGCAAATTATTTAGTGGTTTGGTTAGTTGGAATCATCTGTTCACTGCCCTTATTTTTAGCACACCTATAAGGAGCGCGCACTGTTCAAAAAAGCCACTCAAGGTTGCAGACAGCAGACAGTTCAACTTTAAGTGGTGTGTGAACACATGCGTGATAAACCGTGTAATAGCTGCATTTGAATACGTGGGAGTGAGACGAATGCCTGTGTTAGTTTAGTGAGATCCGTGTTTGTTGTGCTTTTGTATATTATGTTTGTCCTGCATGGTTTTATTTACTCACCCTTTCCCATGCATGGTGTCGACTGTTGCTTCAAAAGGGCCATGTTGATTTTCTTACTCATTTTGAGTTGATCTAGAAGAAACAAAGCTTTAATAAATAACACTGCACACATATGTTGTTCAGTAAGGCAGCATTTACTCAAACTTGACATTGGTTAAAGGTGTCATTTAATGGCTCCTAGCAAAGCAGTGCAGCCTTATCTCGCATCACAATCCCTTCTTCCTTGCCTTTGTTTGCTAGTGTGACGGTCACACCTGAAGTCACACCCCGAACCATGATTTTACACAACTTTGACTTGACTGTTTGAGTTATCGTAGTTTTTGAAATGCTCGTGTATCATGCTCCGATTTAACTTGGAATTAGTGGAAAGGAAGTCAGTGAACTGGAAAGTGGGGATGTTTGCGTCAGGAAGGACAAAAAGTCTGTGACAAGTCAAACATGGAGATCATCAAGAATGAGATTTCCATACCGGAGCGTCTCTGGTACTGTTAGTGGACAGGGTGAACATGCAGAGTTGTGACAGGAGGATGCTAGGGATAGTGTGAAGTGGAGGAAAATGATCCAATGTGGCAACCCATAAAGGGAGTAGCCAAAAGAAGAAGTTGAAATGCATTACTTGTATTTGGAGTGTTCACATTATGTTAAAAAGAGGAAAGTTTTAGGGATCATCAGCCAATATTTAAGCTCCCATTTTTGTTTAGCTTTGGTTTGTTTAGCTTGAGTTTGGTTTTATATGAGCAGTTAGTTTTCTTTATTACTTTTTTATTTTATGTTGCCATCATAAATTGAATGTAGCTGTTTACTTAACATATTTTAAGGGACTGGAACTCTAATTGGACTTTTGTAAAATGAAGTATTTTGTGTTTTGGGCAAAACGTTAGTTAAAAAAACAACAAAAAAACATCCCACTTAATTTGTTTTGTTTGCATTGATCAACTGTCATTTCAGTAGATTGCTGACAAAAACTGCTCTAATCAGTATGGCCATTGTTGGGACACCTTTGGGAGTGTCTTGTGCTGTGTGGAACCAAAATGAAGGAGGTGGATCCTTAATGCCGTTAGATTTGACTTGATAGAGTTCGTGGTTGCTTGATCAGATTGGAATCTGGGAAGTTTGGAGGCCAAATTAATGTCTTTGGCTGTTGTGTTTCACAAGCTTTTTTTTAAATGTTGTGTTAGTTTAGGGTTTATAATTCTATGTATACATTACACAACATTACATTACACACAGTTTTGCGTGTCTCAAAGTTCTATACCAGCATGCAGTGTCAGTGTTGTCACAACATCCATGTGAAAAGTCCTGTAGTCATTTTTTAGTATAGAATGCCATTTACATTAATTTTAAACATGAACAATAGAATTAAAAAAATATCCACATAATGCATTAGCAGTTAAAGACTGAAAAGAGCTCATTTCAGAAACATTACTTTCCTGGTATGTGCAGACAGTTGCTGAGCATCAGATGCGAGTGCTGATTCTATAACACATTTTAAATACTTAACTATGTGTTGAAGTGTAACTTTTTTTTTTTTTAAAGTAATTTCTCTATCACCAGTTTACACCTGTTATGAGAACTCCTTTTATAATTTCAGATTAAAGGCTACAACATTGTAAACTCAACTATCGAGCAGTTTTCTATGTAGAAGTATTTGGTGCCAGGAAGTGATATCTAATAGAACCAGGCTCAGATATTCACAATGCCAACATGACTGAATCCTGTCAGCTGCCATCAGGGTTATCTCAGTGTTGTAGTGGATTATACTTAAGGAGGTAGTCGTGGGAATTTTAGCTGTCTAGAAGAATTTGTCTAAAAAATACAAAACTAATTGAATCATTAACAAATTACCTGACTGAAAGAACGTGAATGAATAAAATCTGTCTGATATTCCAGATCTCACATAAAAGCTCAAGTTGTCACAAGCTAAAAGTAGCATGTGGCTTCACAGTTATGTTGCTTTGTTGGTGTAAATAGCCCAGAGAAAACAACAGCAAACCAGTGCAAAAACTCCAAAGGTATGTGCAAACTAAGCATTTCAAATGATATTCTGGCAACTTGGTACTTGTGGGAAACTTGTCGTTGCCACAGTGTCTTCTTTGAAGTGCATGAACTATTCTTATGCCATGCATAAGCTCATCAGTGTCATTTGACTAGATCTGTATCACGGGTTCGTGTCTTTCTAGGGTGTAACGCAGTCTTGTATTTATTCCTCTACAACAGAGGAAACAGAATGAATACCACCCAGTCCTATTTTTAAGGCAATTAGTCGTCATCTAGTTTTGTTTGGGTTTTTTCCATTTATTTTTGTATTAGTTAACTAAGACACATGTTGGTACCTGTTGGGAAATGTGTGGCTGCCGCACTTGATCAGGCTTGTTTTGGACTGTGTTGTAAAGAGAGCAAGAATACATCCACAGACATGCTGTGAATTCAACATTAGGAGCAAAGTTTCAGAATAAAAGGAAAAAGGAAAAAAGAATCATTTTGATGTCAGGCAGCAGTGCTAACCACAGCTAACTGTTGCCTTAAAAAAAGTTTGACTGTGCCTTAAGATTGCAGTTTAAGATATATCATTTATTTTGTTTTAATACCTACAGATTCTCACTCCTTTGGAAGCCAAAAAAGAAAAAAGAAAAAGAAATAGAAATATGCACCTTCATATTAAGATATTTAATCTATATGCAAACTATATCTAGGCATGTCTGCCAGAGCTCACCATGCAAATGAGGTAAGTGCTGATGATGACATAAAGTTAATATAAACAATGGAAACACAAAGAATCATTATGACTGCCGTGTACTTACTGTTGGCAGGGCTTTGCACAAAGCTAAAACCTCCTGGGACTGTAGAGACCGTTGTCAGGTGTCAGCAGACTGAAGCCTTGTCAGTGCAGGTTCCAGCAGACACCGGGATGCTTCGGGCTGTCACTGCCGGGTTGAAGTATGAAGGAGGTACAAAGTTGGTGTTGCAAACAAGGAAGTAATCTGCATCAGTGTTGTTTGGCAGTAGAGGAAGTGCAGGAGGAACCGTTTGTATGAACAAGCAGTTCTGTGTCACTTTTTCAAAGCCTCGAGACTTCATAAGCTCCACCCCTCTTTGTCAACTTACGTTGTATGTGTAAGTCACTGGGCTGGCGACAAGTCACCGTCTCCTTTTAGGGTATTTGATTAGAGAAAGTGTGTGTGTGTGTGTGTGCAAATATAAACAAACATGGGGAAGTGACTTTTGTTTTCTATAAAAGGATTGTTTTCTCCACCACTTTGAAAAGAGAAGTAAATTTTGACAAAGTTTTTTTTATTTTTTTATTTAAGGTTCCTGTGACCAAGGTCAAGATGTGCGATCCTGACCTGGTCAACAGAGCACTGATATATAAGGACCCCTGATTTAGAAATAGTGGTGGTGGTGTGTGTGTGTGTGTGTGTGTGTGTGTGTGTGTGTGTGTGTGGCATACCGCTGCTACACACTTGTCTGAAATACTAGTAAACTGGTCCTGAGTATGCTCAGCATAAGGTAATGCTACTGTAATGCTTGCAACACCACCATCTGGACAGCAAAGGAAAATTCATTCTCCTCGGTTGGCTAGATAATTTTTTTAAAGCTCCTTTGTGTATTCATGATACTTCTTCTTTATGGTCCAATGCTGCTGTAGCATACAGTGCCACAGCAGCTGCGCATTCAGCAGGTGGACAGGTCAAATTGGTCAAACTTCAAATTTAGGGTGACTCTAAATTTATAAAATGTTGATATTACTTTAACATTGGTGCACTGCAGTTTGTTATTTTTTATTAGCAGTGTTGAGCAACTTACTTAGTAATTAGCCCTTTCACGCATAGTGGTCACTACAGTGGACAGCTATGCAAAGGCTGTTTTCTTGTATTGGTGTCAGTGTTGATGGTATACTTGCACATAAACAACTACAATGGACACTGTTGTGTCACTCCATACCCTGCCGCCCACTGGTCGTTTAATGTGCCTATAGATGTATGACGTGTTCCATTGTAATTATTGTTATTTAACCCTGTCATGAATAAATTATGACAACCTCAATCAGGATTTTTTAAAAGTATTTTTATTCATCTTTTCATGCCTAAAGATGAATAAAAATACTTAAGCAAAAAATCCTGATTGAGGTTGTTATAATTCATGCATGACAGGGTTAATTATAGTTATTAGTTACTTCTTCCGAAAAGTAACTGAGTTAGTAACCGAGTTACAATATTGTAAATTTTAAAAACCTATGCTCAACTTTGGCAAACAACAAAGTTATATGCAGCTATTTACATAAAAACACAGCCAAAGCGTTTTTGTTTTTTTATATCCATTTCTAACTATTTGCAGAACAATCAGGCGTTCTGCATCAGATAAGATGCCACACAAATTATTTTTGCCACTTCAAACAATAATTTCTGTCCACTATAAGATAAATGAAACATCATAAGCATGATACCTGCAGGCCTGAAAGCAGGAGGTGTATCACTTTCAAGCGCTCTCCTTAGAAAACGCTGTTTTTACAGTTTCTTCCTGCAGTAAACATAACGATAGTATTCAGGAAAAACATTATGTACATTTTTAGCATAACTGGTTTTACGTGTCTTATCAACACAATTTAAAAACTGGTATAAAGTTTGAAGTCTGAACCTTTAACACAAAAGTGGAGACTCGGGGTTGTCTTGTGTTGACATAGCATCATGTTGCCCATCTGTTAATAGCTTGTAGACCCACCTTTAGCACAAATAAGCTGAAGTAATCATTTTCTGTATGACATATCAGTCTCTCAGATTGTTGTGGAGATCGTTGCTTCACTTCATTCACATTTGCAGACATGCGTTCATGCACTTAAGCTCCCAGTCCAGTTTATTATCTATGTGTTCTCCAAGGTATTTATGAACAATTTTTCGGTCTTTGTCACATTGAGGTGCAGATGATTCTGCTCACACCATGTGACAAATGGGTCAACCACAGCCCGGTACTCTGACTCATCACCCTCACTGATGCATCCACCCACTGCAGAGTCATCAGAAAACGTCTGAAGATGGCAGGTCTGTGTGTAGTGGCTGAAGTCTGTGGTGTAGAGGGTGAAGAGGAAAGGAGAGGACGGTACCTTGTGGTGGCCTCGTGTTGCTGATCACCTTGTCAGACACACACAATGTTGAAGACACATATTGTGGTCTTCCTGTCAGGTAATCAATAATCCAGGACACAAGAGAGGTATCCACCTGCATTCCTGTCAGCTTATGACCCAGGAGGGTTAGCCTGATGGTATTGTATGCACTAGAAAAGTCGAAAAAACATGACCCTCACAGTGTCCTGATGCATGCTCAATCTTCCAGGTAAGGAAATCCCCCAAAATGTATTCTGTTCATCTGGACGTAGCGTTTTCAGTGGGAGAAACAGTACATGTGCATAATGACTCAAGCTAGCATAAATGCAGAGTCCTGGCCTGACGAGCTGTCATAACACAGAAGAGCTAACTCATCAGGCCAGGACTCTGCAGTATGTCTACACCTACAGGCCAGGGCCACTCATTCAGTGATGAGGATGTATATACCCTGGACAGGGAGGAATGCTGGTTTGAGCGGAGAGTCAAGGAGGCCATCTTACAATATTAATGATCAAACAACTGACCTCACAGCCCATTGTTCCTTCAGTGGGCTGGTTTCAGTCATCGTGCAAAGGTAGTGTTTATAAGATTGGGCAAACCTGCAGTCAGCTGAGACTGAGGAAGTCACTTGGATGAGTGACGTTTTAACGTATTAACATGTACCTCACTGCTCCACACCAGCAAACTGACAGCATGTCTGGGTTTTTATTGAGGCACTCAAACTTGCTGTTGATCAGTTAATTAGGTGCACTTGATTAACAGCACCTGGTTGTTACCTAACCGTTGAATTCCTATGGTAGCAATAAGAGAATGCTTAGTTTTGCATACACAGCTTCTGCAATTTGGCTTTTACTGTATGTCCTGATATGTAAATCCTTAGAAATGAAAGGGTGTACTTTGACCATTTTCAAGATACTGCACATGCAATATGTTGATGAACCACTCCAACATCTTTATTTTGTGTGCTGGATACATCATGAACCTTCCACGTGGCAGAAATGGAAATGTAACGCAGGCTGTTTTTATCGCAGTGCTTGTTGCAGAGTTTCGTTGGCCTAGATAGTTCTTTACTGGACTTGACAAGAGGAAGAAAACTTCACATGTCTGTGTGCCATTTGTTCATTACTTGCACATTAAATAACACAGGCAACAGCAATGGGTGAAATATGAGCTTTTTATAATTGAATATTTCAAATGTTTGTAGGATTCTTTGCAAACAAACCCATAGCAAAGCCAGAGACCATCATAGTATTTAATCCTCCTAGAGGGGAAGTTGATGTTTTTATGTCAAATTTATGTCATTTACGTCAAATCTGTTTATCATTTCAGGGCACTGTGACCACTCAGCATACAGGGAGGTGCGTGTGCGTGGGTGGGTTGGGTGGGGGGTCACATTCCACAGTGATTATATCTTTCTAGCCCTCATGTAAGTGTTTCTAATATATAAAAGAGCACACTCCTCTCCATTAAGCAGAACTTGGACTGTCTTTGCCAAAACGTAATTTATTGTCCCAGGAGGTCGAACTTACACAATCCGAGCAACATGTTTACCCAATACAAATGTAATTTTAGTACATGTGTTTCTTGAGACAGTGCAGGTGATGAGTAGTGCTATTTTTAGAATGGAATGTAAACCACTGGGTCACATATTTTGCTCTCAATATGACTCAGAGTTTAATTTTATTAAACAGCACACGCAATCCTTAAATGACAAGGGACACGCCATGTATTTCCCCCTAACACGAACGCACACACACACACACACACACACACACACACACAAGGTAAATAATTGATGTGGATCACAGAATAAAGGTTTCTTCAAGTTAATTTTATTGTTTTATTTGTTCATTTATTACTGAAAATTATTACAGTTCCTGGTATTCGAAGCAAGACATTAATCTGGTTCAGTAATACCTTTTCAAGTAATTTCAGCTGAATTGTGAGCAAATGATTATGATTTATAACATTCAAATATAGGAGGCGATAAATGTCAAACCTAACATTTAACACACCAAAGTAGATGCTTTGAAATGGCTTGGCCTGCATTTGTTACACATAAGCCCGCTGCAAAGCTAGATGGCAGCACAGCACTTTCATCAATCCTTCTCCTTCCCTTTAAGTGAAAGCTCAGCCCCAAACTAAAAGGCCTGCTTTGCTTCAGGTGCAGATAAATATCCATAAGACATGTTAAATATGAGTAAGTTCCAAAAAGGTGTAATCAAGTGAAGGCAAATGGTACAACTCATTGTTTAGATACATACATAGAAATAAAAAAGCAAAACAAAAAAATTGACACATTTCAGATACACAGGATACTTCACTGAAGTTAAACTAAAGATGTTTAATATGTAGTTTTGTTGCTGGAAATTATAGTTGCATACATTATAAGGTAGTCTTTCATATTTTAACATATAAGGTACATATTTTATATGTTTATCTATATATAAAAATTGTAGCTAACAAGCAATTCAGTACATTCAGTTCAGTTTTGTGAGGATTCTGCATTTGATAGTTTGGGGCCCAGTAATGCTGATTCCTTGAAGAAAAAGTCAAATAAAAAGGCTCCCTTGTTGCAGAATGTGTTCCTCCAAGCTTTGTGTTTCGGAGAAGATCCTCGTGAATTGTCTTCTGTCTCAGCTGCCAAGCTCGCTTTGGATGCTGAAGAAGAGACAGACATTCTTGTCAAGTCCCATAGGTCTGGCTTGAATTCATCAATAAATCAAACACTTGTTCAGAGACACTGAAACCTGAACCTAAGCATGTGCACACAAACGTCTCAGTTTGATTTATTTCAATCTTCCTTTCATCCAGAGTGGTTTGAGCTTCCTCTGATGGGCTGTGCAGATGTAGCAGCCAGTCTTTCGCTATATCTAGCGCCGAATCTGTGGAATAAAAGTTCTGCGTGGACTAATCTTCATCTGCAGTGCTCACATAACCCCA